TCCAAGAGCCTTCTATTTCTCAGCAGCACCCACTCTTTCATCCAAACCAAACAGCAAGCTGAAAAATATAATTTCAAATCAGGTAGACACAATACATCTTGTAACACCTTATATTTAACTTATGGTTTTTTCCCCTGCCACACAAATTTAGATGTATCCTTCTGCCACTGTTTAAATAGTGCATCAGCTGTCAAAACAGGTATTGTCTGAAACAAAAATATTATTCTAGGCATGACATTCATTTTTATCACAGAAATTCTTGGATATATTTTATTTTATTTATTTATTTATTTATTTATTTATTTATTTATCTATTTATTTTCTATTTATTATTGTAATTTTGTAATTTTAATTGATTTTAAATGTTTTGTAAACTGCCCAGAGTTATTCAATGAGATGGTGGTGACAAATTTAATAAATGAATGAATGAATGAATGAATGAATAAATATTCTCCCCAGCAATGACAGTTGTAGTTTCTCCCATTTTAACATGTCTTTTTAAACTTCATTCCATGCCTTAACATAGTTATTTTGAAATAACATACAGTTTATATTTGTCATAGTGATACCCAGCTATTTTACCTTCTTCTCAATCTTAAAACCTGTTTTATTCATCAATTCTGTTTGATTTCTATTTTTATATTTTTGGTTAACATCTTTGTCTTCTGTTTATTAATCTTGAAACCTGTTAATGCATCAAATTCTTTTAATTTGCCCATTAATATTTCAGTTCCCTTTAAAGGATCTTCCAGAACCAACCCCAAGTCATCTGCAAAAGCCCTTAACTTACAAGTTTCTTTTTTAATCTTTACTCCTACAATCCTCTCATCTTGTCTTATATCTCTGTTCAGTATTTCAAGAACCAAAATAAACAAGAGAGGAGACAGTGGACATCCCTGTCATGTTCATCTTGTCTTATATCTCTGTTCAGTATTTCAAGAACCAAAATAAACAAGAGAGGAGACAGTGGACATCCCTGTCATGTTCCTTTTTGTATCTCACAAGGTTTTGTTAAATCTCCATTAACAACTAACTCTGCTTTCTGTTAGGTGTAAATCAATTTTACCCGTTTTATAACATTTTCTCCAAAATTCATATCTGACAAAACCTTGAAGAAGAAGGCCCAGTTCAAATTGTCAAAGGCCTTATTGGCGTCTAAGAAAATCAATGTGGCTTGTTTTTCATTATGTTGCTCCAAATATTCCAAAACGTCCAACACATTTCTAACATTATCCTTTAACTGTCTTTTAGGTAAAAACTCACATTGAGCCTCATGAATAAATTCTTGCAAAATTATTTTCAGTCTGTCAGCCAGAATCATTGTGAATAACTGATAGCCATTATTCAATAATGATATCAGCCTGTAATTTCTTGTTGAAGTTAAAACTTGTCCCTCTTTAGATATTAGTGCTGTATTAGCCTCTTTCTAACTCTGGTATCTTTCTTTCCTGTGAGATAGAGTTCATTGTGTTTTGTAAAGTTGTAAAAGTTCATCCTCAAAACCTTTATGATGAGAACCTGATAATCCATCTGGTCTAGGCACCTTTCCTGGTTTAATCTTTTTTATAGCTTCAGAAACTTCCCTTACTGTTATAGATACATTCTGTCTCTGTTCCTCCATAATCCTTGGTAAATTTTAGTCCTTAAGATATTCATCTATTTTCTCTAGAGAGATGTCACTTCCTTTATACAAGTTGGAATAATATTGATGAAATGCTTTTTATATGGCCATATTGTCCATTAATACAGTATCTCCCACTTGTAATTTCAATATCATTTTCTTTTTTTTTTCTTTTTGTAATTTATATGCTAGCCACTTGGCTTATTTGCAAACTCAGTTTTTTTGCTTCACATAATTCATTTTTATTTCCATTTCTCTTACTGTTAACATAGATAACTGTAACTGTAAAAGCTTAATTTGTTGAGAAATACTAATCTTTGAAAATTTCTTTATTATTTTCTCTTCATCTCATCCCAAATAGCTTGTGTTTTCTCGTGATTTCTTTTTGAGTTCACTATTACGTTGTATAAAATAACCTCTAATAAAAGCTTTACTTCCATCCCAAACCAATCTTAAATCACTGCCTTTACCTAAATTATTTTCAAAAAATTAATTCTTTTTACAGTCCTCCATTATTGCTTCTTTCTGTAGCAATCTTTCATTTAGTCTCCATCTAAAAGAACTAGATTTTCTTTTATAAACCAAACTCACAGGATTATGATCTGAAAAAGTCTCTACTTAGAAACCTTAGTAGTCAAGTTCTTTGAAATCCAAATCATGTCTATTCTTGAGAAGGATCTACGTCTTTCAGAAAAGTAGGTGTACTTTCTTGAATTGCCATTTTTCTGTCTCCATATATCAACCAGTCCTAAATTGTCCATCAAATTAAGGTAAAATTAATATGTTTTCTTTTAAAAAGAGGATTAAAAATAGATTTAAAAAAATAGAATAGTAAGTATCTCTATAAAAATAATTTTAAAAAACTGAAATTGAAAACAAATTTGGTCTCTTTGGATACTTAGTGCCTTTGCATACATATTGTTAAACAGATACAGTGAAATCTCAGTTGAACAGACCAGATGGAGGGAGGAGGTATCCTAATTGTCTGTTATATTGGAAAGTACATAATTTGTAGTGGCATTACACAAATAATGTAAAATGCTGCAAATGTCATTTATGTCATTTGCAGAATAACATAATTGTACAAATGACAGAAAGTGATGTAATTTGCATCATTTGTGCAGTGACTTCATTATGCAAGTGATGTAAATATAACAGGAATTTCATCCATTCCAGTGAGATTCATTAGATTAAAGTTTCACTGTATTAATTTTTCATTTACCCTAACAATATAATTTTGTAGTGCAAAAGGCATGTACTTACATAACCATAGATCTTAACTTTTCCTTGTGAATTATGCTAATTGTTCTAGCAATTGGCAAGAATAGCTTTATGGAACATGAATTGTAAAAAATCAGAATTTTAATTGAAATCAGATTTTTTTTTTCATTAGGAATTTAAGGATGTAATCTTCTGGTTGTGGGAGAGACAAGATAGTGATTGAGATAAGGGTTGTTATAGCATATTATCTTAGTTCATCAAAGTAACCATAGAAATGATGTTACTCTTTAACTGAAGTACTAACTTTAATGTAAAGAAACTTAGAAGTTGAAGTATGATTATGGACATTATATGAGAACTTGTCAAGTCCTTACAGTTAGATTACATGAAATAGAGTTAGTTTAGGTATATTTTTGGAATTTCTCCATTAAAACTTCCCCTTCTTGCTAATTTAATGTGCCAATGGCCCAGAGCAGTCTTCCTCAGAACAATTAACATAGTAATAAATATATCAGCCAAGGAAATGCTGTGTTTTTTAGATCCAAAACATTATACATGGAGCACTTGGAAAATGGGATATTCCTACAACAAAAGGAGCATCTTGGCAGACAGTGTATGAAGTTTGTATAGCAGATGAAGGAAACATAATAATTTATTAGATAAAATACTTATTGTGTGGAAAATGTCTTAGCTGGTTATAGTGTCCTTTGATAAACATGAGTGAATATCTAGCAGCAGAATATTGAAAGAGCTGGAGATGTGAGGGTGATTGGTTGAAATATCTGACTCCTTACTGATGGCTAGTGCATGTACTTAGATATTCATTCTTTTCCTATCCATGTATATCTTTCTCAAAGTTGTTCACACAGTGGAAGAAGGTGATCATACAAGGTAGACATAACTTTCTTTGATTAAAGGTATAAAGTACCTGTGCTCAAAAACCCTTCTTCACATTCAAATTACTATTTGTTTTTTTTCCCTCTTTCATCTTAGTCTTTCTGTCATTAATTCTTCAGCGCTGTTTCTGAAATATATTATCAGATTTTTGCTATGCCATACTTGCAAGGTATATGCTCCTTGTAATGCCTCTTTGGAAAGCAGAATGTTAATTCCATAAAGGCAACTGTAAGCCTATTAGTGGACAATATATGAACAATAACTAATATAGAAATTTAATCTTGGAAGGAACTCCAGAATACTGTTCTTTTGAATGTGGATGGCATCCTTCCAAGGATCAAAGTATATAATGTCATAGAAAGGAAGCAGAGAGAAGAAAAAGAAAAAAAATCATATTTGAAATATTTGAAGTTATGCATCCAGATTGTAAATAAATAGTAATTGCTTTTGTAGGAGTTCCATCAAAAGTCTTTAGATTGGGAGAAGCAGCGCCTGCAGTACCAGCAGCAAGTTGCTTCATTGGAAACACAGAGGAAGGCTTTGGCTGAGAAGTCTGAGCTAGTTCAGGTACAATTAATTTGAGTTGTTTGCCATAATTCCTTTCTCTGTCTTCTAAGGCAAACTTGAGTGTCATTCAGGCAACCATTGAAGTGACCTTGAATCTCTTGTGGGATAACCCTGTCCTGTCCAATATGTACAGTGGTGCTTAAAAGTATGTAGATTTTGATCATTTTCCTCAGTACAGGTAGCCCTCGACTTGCGATCACAATTGGGACTGGAATTTCTATTGCTACGCAATGTGGTTGTAAAGCGTGATGTCATATGACCGCATTGCTTAGTGACAGCAATCTAGGTAGTCCTGCTTGCCTTCGTAACCCCAAGATGCGCGGGTCATTAAGCAGGAAGAGGTGGAAATTCCGGGTAAGGAGCACAGGGGTACCGTGGAGGTGGGAGGCCTGGGAGGGCTGGCACAGGTCATGCATGAGGGGGGTGCTGTGATGCAGAATGAGCTCAGGAAGGCCGGGGAAAGAATACACTGTGGCTTAGGGGCTTCTTGGTGTGCTGTGGCTCTGGGGCTGCAAGCTTTTTGCAGCCCCAGAGCTGTAGCACACCAGGAAGCCCCTTTGTGCTGCACAAAGTCCAGCCCCAGCAAAAAGCCCCAGAGCTGCCAGTCCAGAGATTGTCAGCCAGTCCAGAGGTCAGAGGTTCAAAATTTCGAAGACAAAAGGATTTGCAGGAATGTTACACGAGAGCCGGAGGTCAGACCTTGTTTCCAGCAAAGAGAGCATGGGTCAGAGCTGCTTCTTAAATAAAGCTGCAGCCAGCTATCACCAGCCAGGAGATTTATTCTCTTGCTTGGCAAGGAGCCTAATAGATTTTCGCTGCTCTGCTCTCTTCTCTATTAATTGGGAGCAGGAGGGTGGGAGGCCTTACATCATCCTCATCTGACTTCTTCAGTTGCTTAGGTGGTACCTGTGTTTGATCAGCCTGATGTGATTCTTGGCTTTGTCTCTCCTGAGGCTGACATGCCACAGGCTTAGCTGGAACAACTTCTTCAGGGTCAGATTCACAATCTAAGTCCTGAGCCTGGGCCATGACAGGTTCTTTTTATCTAGTTTTAGGACTTGTGTGAGGAACAGATCACATTTTAGATCATATTTATGTAGACATATTGAAAATTCAAAAGGGTTCACAAACTTCTAAGCACCATTGTACATATAGTCAGAAAATAACCTAAAATCTGTTCAGTAACTAGTAGGCATTGGTCCTTTTTGCTGTTAAGTTCCCAAACAGTTTTGTCGGGAAAACATATAGTATGATCTTTAAAACTATTTTGTTACAGGTTTTATAGTGGCTAAGTGCCTGACAGAATGCCATAGTATACATGCAATAGATTTAAATGATGCTTTTCATAAATAGTATATATATCATAGTTGTGATGGATAGCATGAGCGGGGAAGATTCTGGAATGGAGCTTCAAGGTTGTCAGGAGTGGGGAGAG